TTGCTGTTCAAGCACTTTTTGGAAAGATTTTCTATCTTTCAGAGGTAAAAATAAAACCATAAGTGATATGTTTCATTAGCATAGTAGTCCAAAAAAATGCATATATTGTTGACCATTTGTGTTGACTTTCCAACATGCACAACTCCAGCTCCCAGAGTTCTGTGGAAGAGACAGCTCCTTGATAGTGAAAGAAATATTTGGCGTTGCAGAGTAAGCATCTAATCGTTCCTTTTAGAAAGAGTTACATCTTTAAGAAAAAAAATCTCAAATGGAAAAAACTGTACTTGAAGGGAGTAGAATGTTTTTTTTTTTTTTTGTAAAGTTAAAAAAAAATCAAGTATTAAATGGTTTGATAAATTGGTTAACAGTAGTTTTGGTTGAAATTTGCAGCGAGGATGCTGAAAAGCTTAGGATGCATACAGTGGCAGAAGCAGGTGATATGGATTCACTAGAAAAGATGGTTGATGCTTCAGATTCAGAGGATTCTGGGTCAGAATCATAGATTTTGTTTCCAGGCTTTTGTAGACTTACCGGGAGAGATAGAAGCCCTTAAGTGAAGACTGCTGCAACATGAGGATTTTGTAGCTGGATTTAAAAGAAAGAAAAATCATTTAATAGTTTTATGCAGACTGCAATTCAATATATATGGTTGATATAGATTGTATCTTTTAATAATTTATTAAAGGGATAATGACATAAAAACCCTTAAGTTTGTAAAATTTTGTTGGTTTTACCTGAAGTTGTATTTTAGGAGGGTGTTTGGGAGTGTTTTTTTTAATTAGAAAAGTGCTTTTAGATAAAAGTGTTTATTTGCTTATAGTGGTGGTAAAAAGAGTTTTTTAAAAAGTGTTTGGATAAGCTTTTATAGTGAAAAAGCCAATCTACTATAATAAATAAAGGTTTTTTTGCCACATGTCCTCTTCTCATTCATTTGGACATATGGCATTTTCTAAAATTTTTAAATTTTTTATTTTCCACTTGTCATTTTATTATATTTTTCATTTTATTAAATTAAAATTTCACATTTAATGTGTAAGGTAATATATATGTAAAGTACTTATTAGAAAAAGTTTATATATATATATATATATATATATATATATATATATATATATATATATATAATGTATTCAATACATTAAAGTCTCATTAATTTTAATAATTTAAAATTTTCTCATTTTTCTTATAAATTCAAACTTTTCAAATTGTTAAAATTTTATAATTTTTTTTTTAATTAAACCCATGTAATACATAGATCACACACCTAGTAAGTCAATAAGTTAAAAAGTGTTTGGCTTAAAAGGTGCTTGTTGAAGTTATTTTGGTTGAAAAGCCATAAGCAGTTTCAAAAAGTCACGTTTTTCATACTTATTAAAAAGTGCTTATTGAAGCTTATAGAAAAACTATTCTGAAAAGTGCTTTTGAGTTTGCCAAACACTTTTTTTGGCTTATTAGCTTTTCAAAAAGCCAATAAGCAAATAAGCACTTTTTAAACGCAATACCAAACACCCCCTAGGTCCATAAATGCCTCAAATTTGCAACCTTTTCTTTTCTCTGGTTTAATCGGTGTTACCCTTCTTTTTCTGCTTCATAAAAGCCCTTAAGAAAAGGATAAAATTGATTTATTTATTTATTTTTTTTGCAAATTTGAGGCATTAATGGACCTAAAATACTACTTTGGGTAAAACCGATAAAAACTAGCGAACTTAAGGGTTTTATGGCATAGCCCTTTATTAAACAAGTATTATGAAGTAGAGATGAGCGTTTGGGCCGAAAACTAAACCGGAACTAGAACCGAATAAGGATCAATTAAGATTAAGATATTCGGTTCCCGTTTCATAGTTTAAGGATTATTCGGTTTTCGGTTTTTTTGGATACGGTCCAGTTTCAGTTCTGTACACCTTCTTAGATAACACATTTCTTAATTGAACCGAAACGAAAGTGATATTAGGTCCGGTTTTCGGTTCTTAGTTTGAGGCTTATTTAGTTCCGATCCATTAGACCAAATAACATCCATATTATGAAGTGTGTTTTTGCAAAAAAAAAAAAAGTGATTTTGTTAGCATTTTAATAAACTATGTGATTTTCTACTCATTTACATATTACTTTAATTATAATCATATCTTATTTTAAAAAAAATCAAAAAAATATTATAGAAAAATTAGATAAGTGTGCTAAGGTGGTGTTTGGGGTTACTTATTTAAAGTGTTTATTTGTTTATTACGGTTTGACACTGCAAATAAGCAATTTTAAATGATTGGATAGAGAAATTATAAATGCTTATTGGCTTAAATAAGGATTTTGTGATAAGTTCTTATCTAAAACTCTACAGTTGAAAACATATTTACCATTTTACCTATATTTTATCTCAAAAAATGAGTTTTATATCCCATTTTTTTTGGATAATGATATGAAAGGGTAACGAACTTCCGATTTTGTTCACATTTAGCCACTAATTTTTTTTTTTTGTTATCTATCTGTCACTCAGCTATTGAAATTGTTTGCAATTGCATTTTACCCTTATGATCGGGTGTAGGATAAATGCGAACAATTTCAATAGTTCAGTGACAGATAGATAACGAAAAAAAGTTTAGTGACTAAATGTGAACAAAATCGAAAGTTCGTTTCCCTCTAAAAAACTTCAATGAGTAAATGTGAACAAACTTCCTATTGTATTATGTTATAGCAAATTGTTTATTTTTGTTAAATTCTAGCAACATTTGTTGATGAAGAAATCTATGAAATAAAAAAAGGGAGAATTTTATATATGCTCTTTTTAAACATCAAGATATCATACTTACCCAACTTAATTTCTAAATATCATATTTACCCTTCATAAAATATCTAAATATCATATTTACCGTTCATAAAATTTCAAAATACCATGTATATGTTTTTTTTAAACATCAAAATATCATATATGTCCTTATTAAATATCAAAATATGATATATGTACTTTTTAAACATCAAAATATCAATTGTAATATCTAAAATATCATCCATCTACAACATAATAATAATCAATAACAACAAAAACTAAACAATCAAATATACATTCCATAGAGTAGGTTGAAGATGAATCTTTTTGTTTGTCAAGAAGACGACATTCCAACAATTTAGAAATTCACATTTCATAATCATAGACGTTAGGATAATATGGTTAAACTTTTTAATTGTTATAATAATCTAAAGGTATAAAAAAGTGATTATAAAATATTAAAAACATTATAAAAAAGAATTTGGTCAAATATGATATTTTGAAGGTTTATGAAGGGTAAATATGATATTGAGAAATTAAGTTGGGCATATATGATATTTTAAGGTTTAAGAGGGGCATATATAAAATTCTCCCCAAAAGAAAAACAAAACCCCAAAAATATATTAAAAAAAATAAAAAAACCAAAATCATATTGAAAATTTTTATTTTTTATTTTGGAAAATACCAAACCATTGATTTTTTATTTCAGTTTCGGTTTTTCGTTTTTTTTAATATATTTTTCTTTTCTTTTTTTTTTCTTTTTTTTTTTTTTTAATTTGATAGATTTTTTATGTTGCTAGAATTTAATGAAAATAATAATTTGCTAAAACATAATACTAGAGGAAGTTTGTTAACATTTAGTTATTGAACTTTTTTACAGGGAAACGAACTTTCGATTTTGTTCACATTTAGTCACTAATTTTTTTCGTTATCAATTTGTCACCGAACTATTGAAACTGTTCACATTTTACCCTTATTACCGGTTAGTGACTAAATATGAACAAAATCGAAAGTTTGTTACATTTTCAAATCATTATCATTTTTTTTCCCAAAAGCACCGTACAAATATGCATTTACATAATATTTTATGTTTCACATTTAATAACTTTTAAATATTATTTATTGATATGAGTTTTTGAAAAATATATTATTTTAAATTTTGTTAATATAAATTTAAGTAAAAGATGTTTTTCTTAATATTACTGATAAAATTCTTGTAAACGATATTACTATAAATGCTTAAGCAGTTTTCTTATATATAAGGTAAATAAATAAATAGTATATAGATATGTTTTTTTGGTTAAGTTGTTTACTCCTTATTTAAAAGTTGTTATTAGAGTTGACAACATATTTACCATTTTAGCATGTTTTAGGGAAATTGAGTAATCTAATATATATATATATATATATATATATATATATATATATATATATATATATATATATATATATATATATATATATATATATATATATATATATATATATATTTAAATTACATTTTTTTTTGTTGGCAAAATAACCGTTTGGCCCAACCCGATTTCAAATTCGGTTAAACGGGAATTCCGACCCAGTAATCTGGTTCTCCTATAAATACAATTTAAATCGTTTCGGACTACACTTCGACATCCCTTGTTTCGGACTACACTTCGACATCCTATTCCGGACATGTCTACAACTGAAAATGTCTTCTGATAGCAGTGAAGAAATGTAATTTATATTTGTAAGTTTCAAATTTGTTTCCAACTAAAATCATTTATTTTTTGTTATACGTTTAAAAATTTTAGTTTACGCAATTATGTAGGTATTATAGGGTTTTCTGTGAATTTTAAGCTTGTTAAGACAATTATAGGATTACATAGACTTATACATTTATACTACATGATGCATCGTAATGAAAAGCCCTAATTTTTTCTAGTCTGGAACATGTTCGAAATCCGAAAATAAGTCTGGAATCTGAAAATCATGTTTGGAATACAATGAATTGGGTACGGAATTTTGGTCCGGACTTTATGGTTCGGAATACCGTACCCGATTTTCGGATTCCGGAACATACATACAAAAATCCTAATTTCAGAATACAATCAAAAACCCTAATTCCGAAATACAATAAAAAACCCCAATTATGCTCCAGTACATACATACAAAAATCCCTACCTAATAATTCTTTTGATTGTAGCAAGATAAAACATATACAACGGTTGTTACTACAACCTACAAACCTGAACTTGGGCACGAAATCATGGCGTGCTTACAAAACCCACCAGTTTGTGCGGCGATGTTTAGGCAATCGTGTTTTGGTGATTACGTGAACATGTTGATGGGTGTCGTATGAATGTCACCCTTTACTATGTCACTATCTTATGTGTAAGGGAGTTACTACTTTTGATCCAGTTGACCTATAAGAGTTTTTATTTTCGGTTGGCGACTATCGGGTTTGCTTTGATAGGAAAGCATTTTGCTTGGTCACCGGCTTGCGATTTGGGGATTATTTCCATTCCAATTCTGGTTTTGTAGCATTTAGAGAACGTGTGTTTCCATTTGTGTCGTTTTCACGTTCGGTGAGTATGGATGTCCTTACAAACGTGTTTAATAACTCACTTCATCAATTAAGCAATGAAGACGTGGTGAGAGTCTCACTGCTATGTATGCTAGAGCAATGATTTTTGGGAAAATACCCGCGATAGCCAATTGCTAATGAGTGTATGACACTTGTCTCTAATTTATAGGAGTTTAATAGGTATAACCGTTTTTTTATCCACATTATATCAAAATGATATATTTACTTATTAAGCGTAATTTTTTTGACATAGGTACACATGGGCAGATTGATGTGGGATTTCACTTACAAACAACAGTGTACTATGTTTCATAAGATTGGGGACTATTTGAACCTAAATGCATCAAGAATCGGCAGTAGACACACATATGCTCTGTAGAGATTTGTCTATGCATTTAAGGTATGTAGACTATGTTTAATAAGAGTTTTTAAACATGTATTGTAACTTTGTTAACTTGGTAAGTTGTTTGTCATCTTAATTTTGTAGATTTGGATCTTCGAGACATTTCCCAACAGTAGTATTGCTAGTTCCCATCTTACGGGTGTTATCCCTCGAACATCTGCATACCCTAGGATGAGACGTTTGCATGCACCTGATTGTGAATGTATTCTCGATGTTACTAATGTATGTATTTTAGTCCACCTTATAATTTATAAGTTCATATGACATAATTAACTTACGATTAACCTTTATATAGTTTTTTTTATGCAGTGTTCCCCCAACGAATTGTTGCAGCCTACTACGCAAGAGCGTGCTGTTAGGTGGTGGATTGAGAGTGTCCAGTGGATAGATGCTGCATATTACACTAATGTTTAAGTTATGGTTTTCTTTGTTAATGTTTTAAAACAATTGTATTTTGAAGATGTAGCAAAAACAAGTTTATCCTTTCGAACAACATTTTGTAGAATATTATGATATCGTACAAACATCACTACGGGTTTTTTAAATCAACAATATCATACTGGTTGGCTACCTTTTTTACTAGTATGTCTACTCTTAGACTAGCCATTATTTTTGCCACTTGATTAGGTCCTACTTGAAGATTCACTTTTTGTTGACTCCGCGGGAAACAGAGCGTGACAACTTCTGCTTCTGTGACCCATCCTTTGGCAACGACTACATTTTTTTTTGAATCGGACCTTCACATTGGGATGTGATACGGTTATGGTTTTTAGGTCGTACGGCTTGTCGTTTGTCCATTAATGGTGGTAAAACAATCATGACTTCATCTAGTTCTTTGTATTCAGCTGGAACTGGCACAGGAAACACAACCTCCGCATATGTTGAACTATATGTTTCCATTGTGAAGTGCAATGACACCCATGCACTGCAGTGTTGATATCTCAGTTCCTTGAATAGCGTCATAGCATGAGTATAAGTTATACACAACAATTTCCATTTCCCATACGTGCAGAAGTTGAGTACTAAATATAAATGTTGATATAGTTGGTTAACTTACAATGATCCATCAAGTTAGATCTGAACGGGTTATTGTTGTAGGATTAGTGTGAAAACCGATGGGATGGGTAACTAATGAAAAGTGGTATAGTGTCATAGTTATTTATGATGTGTGATATATCGTTTGTTAGCATGGTTATTTATGAGTTATTATTATAATAATATTGTGGAATTGAAAACATATGTCTCTCACCAAGTCCTCAAACCTGACCACTTAAATTATATGTATCACAAGTAGCAGACATAAGACTGCTAGAACTTGATTGTGATGTCGAGTGATTAAGAGACAACCTGCAATAGTATTCAGGATCGATAAGTCTTTAAGCTATAACTCATGTTATGTATTGATTATGACATCCTTAGAGTTTTGTTATTTTGAAACAATATTTGTACGCAAAATGTTTTAATATATTAGGATTTTTCGCAAACAAAGATAACATAATTTTGAAGGCATAAAGAAAAGTTTTTTTCAGTTTTGAAAATCAGGAAATATCACAACATTTTTTTCTAAAAAACATAAACCTTTTCGGATTTTTGCAGTCAACAAAGTTTTTACCGTCACTATTTACGAAAACCATTTTTTTCATATATAGCAACCAACAAAAATCTTTAAAAAAACATAGACCACCTAAATTTTCACATATAGTAATACAAATAAAAATATGTCAAACAATAACACATAACATAAAGACAAACAATAACACATAATATAAAATGTCAAATACATAATGTCAAAGGACAACACATAATGTTAAAACATTGTAAACAAATAATACATATTGTCAAAGCATAAAACATAATGTCAAAGCATAACATAAACAATGCTAAATCATTATTTCATAAGTAACTTAAGGAACCCCATCTTGGCTTCGTCAGTCGTTGGAAACATAAAAGCTTCACAGTTTTGCTTTTTGGTGAACACAAACAATGCTTGTGAAAATTCGTTGGACCCTTCATGAAAATCGGGAAACTTGGTAACAATGGCCATGCATTCTGCTATTGTTGGAGAAGGATTATTTTGTGGATAAGTTTGTGTGCTTTTTGTTGATATGGCATCCAATAAAGCATCTACTTTTTCTTCAAAAACTGAACTTTTACTCTTGGTTGAACGGTTGTTGGAAGCAAGCTTAGAGCTTCTCTTCTTAGTCGAACTACTTTCATGGAAACTAGGAAAAAGCGGCTCAACATCATCATCTAAATTTATATCATCACTATCTCCTTTGCCCTCCACATTTTCTCCGTTCGGATTGCTATTGTTTTGAAACTGTAATGGAGTCATAGTCTGATCTCCAACGACAACGGAATCCCGAAACAAAAGAGCATATTTCTCATCAAATACGCTCAAATGTGCGTTCCTAAATTTTGCATAATCTTTATTCTCGTGCAAGACAAAAAGATAATATAAATCAAATATGCTCAATCTATATGCAATATATATGCAATCATAACTTAAAATAATTACAAAGAATATTAAATCATACCTTTATTTTCTCCTCCCACCATTCGAGCGACGCATCTATTAGGCTTCTCGTCCCACCGAGACCGGTTTCAAGCCTCATTAATCGGTCATAAAGCTTCCACTCTTTTTTCATATTCTCCCATTTGTTTGTTAGTTGTTTTTTTTTTTCAAAAATATAACCTATTTTGTCCTTCATATGTTTTTGTATATTCTCCCACCCAACTTTAGTTAAGTGAGTACCGGTTTTATTGCCTTTTCTTACTTAGTTACACATGAATCAACAAACGCCATGAAGCTACGATTATCCCATCCGAATTTTGGTTTTTTCATTTTTAAAGTTGTTTCACAATCAACAACAGTGGTGAGGTTTTTGTCCATTATCTGTGAATTTCATCTCAACATTTAAACAACCAACAAATTTTATTAACCTTCCTAAATGATTTTGTCAATTTAAACAATTACTAATCAATCTTTTATATGATTCATGAGCTATAGTTTAGTTAAAACAGAAAAATTAGAACAATAGAAGAAAACAACACAAACCATAATAAAGAAATTGGAATAATTTTCACAAATGGGTACCTGTTATCAACACAAATTGGTCCCAATGAACAAAAAATTTCATCACTTTAATCAATATCATCCATATTTCATGAATTTCACTAATAATTATTCAATAGATTATCAATTTCACAGTTGGATTAAAATGTTAACAACAAAAACTCTTAACAGGACCGATCCACAAATTGAAGGAACAAATCACATATACTGCTAGGAAAATCGAAATCTAAGGAACAAATCAACATACACAGTGCAAGTAAAAACGAAGGTTTACAGTTTCTTGCTATTCAAAATCGAAAATCAAGACCAAAACAAAACCAAAATCGGAGTAATTTACTTACCTGGTCGGAGAGGGAGAAAGGAGATTTGCAGAGAGGTCGTTGGTCGGCTTGGTGGACGATCGGCGACAACTCTGGATGATCGGCGGCGACCGGAGGTCGATGATGATCGACAACGACAAGATCGAGTTGGGGCGGACAAGAACGAGAAGGAAAGAAAAGAACGAGAAGGGCAGAACGTGAGAAGAGACTTCACGGGTATTGATTAAGGTTGGTAGTTGGGGGGTATATGAGTTATTTAATTGTAAAAGTTCCAAAAAATCAAAGATACTTGACTTTTCCAAATGCATTAAATCCTTCTTTATAAAAAGTTAATTTCAAAATATCTTTTACATTTACCAAACATCTTTTTTTTATCCCATTTTAACTTTTTGTAAAAAATAAAGTCTAAAATTGCTTCAAAAAGATTAAACAAACACCCCTAAAATTCAAAAATTACAACTTTTTAGATTATTCTAGTGATCTTTAACTATTTTTGTGGAACCTAATTTGTTATTTCTAATTAAAATGTTTATCCTAAAGGAAAACATAATCACGTAATTTGTCAAAAAGCTCATCTTGTTTTGTGTATTATATATAATCACGAAATCTGTGAAATAGATCTACCAAAGTGTTGAAAATCTTGATTCTCCTTCTTCGATCTTGGCATTCTCTTGAATTAATAAATCGTCCGCCTCGTCTCCAACTGCCAAACCCCAAAAATAGTGAGAGAGATTGAGATCTCCAGTCCGGCGTGATTGGTTGAGAATCTCTCTCACGCCACCCATCGCCACCGACAAGGCCGCCGCCCATGAGATGGGTAAACTCTCGGTCATCATCTACATCACGGTAGCTTTGCTCCTCCTCCTTCTCATATCGCATTCCCCCAATAAATCCAATCACCGGAACAACCATCGCCGCCACCGTCGACTAAAGCTCCGCTCCAACTTCTCTTTCACCCCCACCATCGCAACCACAACGGACCATCATGTTTCCTTCGACCCTTTGGTAGCCGACATTGAACGCAAAAGAGAGGACAAATTGTGGGAGAAGAGTCACTTCTTTGGCGACCATCATCATGAAGCAGAAACCGAACCTGAAGCAGATGATGCTCCGGGAATGGAATCACAACCGGAATGGGAGGACTTCATTGACGCTGAAGATTACTTGAATGATGAACATAAGTTCAATATCACCCACCGATTAGTTTTGCTTTTCCCCAGGATTGATGTCGATCCTTCCGATGGCTTCGTGACTGAGCACGAGCTAACGGAATGGAACCTTGAGCAATCTCAGAGGGAAGTCCTTCATCGCAGTCAGAGGGAGATGGAATTGCATGACAAAAACCACGATAGCCTTGTTTCTTTTGCTGAATACCAGCCTCCCAGTTGGGTCCGTGATTCAGGTAATATATCTTATGAATCAGCTCCTTAATAAATTAAGCGGACACATCAATTGATTGCATTATAGCTGTTTACATGTAGCCAGTGAGATTAGGTTTGGAATCTTGATGCTGCCTTTTTTCGATGAGTTATTACTGACTTCCATACGATAAGATTTGTTAGTGTAGGAAATTTTTGCAATTGCTACCTTTAACCATATAAAGAGTCTATCATAGATGCATATTTGGGTGAAAGACTGAGTACCAGATATGAATCTTTAAAATTAAAAATGGACCTTTTTAAGTGAGAAATTGTTATAAAGAAGTTTTAGCATGTGCCTATTGAGTTTTATCAATGATATGCTCATTCAATTTGAACAAATAGAGTCACAATTTCTGGAATTTGTGAAGAATCAGCATGTAGTTATGGTTGATGGACTTGACTTGAGTGCTTTCTACTATCATTTTGTATTTGGATATTCCCCTTACATCTCAATGTGGGTATGAATTCACTAGATAATAACTCATTTGGATATGATATGGGCTGGTGGAAAGAGGAGCACTTCAATGCATCTGATGCTGATGGAGATGGTTTCTTGAATATAACCGAGTTCAATGAGTAAGTTATTAAAAGCACAAAACTTTGTATCTGGTTTTCTTTTTAAAACTTCCATCTTGTTCTTCCCCTAAAATTTGACTCTTTTTTGTGATATTTAGCTTTCAGCACCCTGCAGACACTCAAAATCCAAGACTGCTTCAGTGGCTGTGCAAGGAGGAAGTAAGGTGGCATGCTATTTAGTATTTATTTTCAATAAATTGTGTAAATTCGTTTCCTTTTTGATTGCTACATATATGATATGTCATATATGTATATTAATTCAATATAAGACTTCAGGGAACGAGATACTGACAAAGATGGGAAAGTAAACTTCAAAGAGTTCTTCCATGGACTATTTGACCTTGTAAGAAACTATGATGAAGATGGTCATAATTCTTCACATGAATCCAGTGATTCATTGGAGTCCCCAGCAAAGACCTTTTTTGCCCAGCTTGACAAAGATGGTGACGGGTAAATCTATAACTATATCTTTTTTTAATGATTTGGGAGTTGCTAATATCTTTAAGGATACAACTGGTTTTAAATTTTTAATGAGGGTGAGTTTTGACTTTTGACTTTTGATGTTGTAGATACTTGTCTGATGTGGAACTGCTACCTATCATTGGGAAGCTTCATCCTTCAGAGCGTTACTATGCCAAACAGCAGGCAGATTATATTATATCACAGGTAAGCATGTTTGATTTTGATTTTTTTTTTATAGGTTTGGCCTTGAAGTTGTAGTAATCTGGTAGATATAATCATGTTGATTGACAGCTTCATTGTCTGAAAACTGAGGGGATCTTTCAGATTTGATCAAATTGATTGAGGGTTTATGATTTAACCATATAACAAAATAATACTAAAACTAGAAAAGCATTAGTAATTTAAGAAATACGAGGAAAAACTGGATTTAGTTGACTTTCATGGTTCAATGATTCATCTAATGCAATTAGTTAGTTAAGCCAATGATGTAGAAACGAATAACAAAAATTATCAATTACCTCTCAGACTCATTATTCAAATTAAAATTAAGTGAGATAACAAGACCACACACTCATTCAAATGATTTCACAGTTGAAGCTTCTCTTGAAATCAATACTACATGAAAATAAGAACTTGAATAAAGCAATTTAATGTTATTAAATTTCATCTATCCGTGATCAAGTGATAGCAAGTCAACACAAATTACCTATCCAATTCATATTATGAAAATAACAAGACATTTGAATATGAAATTTGGTTTGAACAAATCAACAACACTAGAATCAGCATCTTACATAAGTCAACCAAATCCAAAAAGTCACTACTACATCATATAAAACACAATAGCAGTATAAAAAGAAAGAAAAACGTTCAACAACACCATCAAATTATATTCTAAAAACAGAATTAAAATAGATGAAAAGCAGTAAAAGGATCGAGATTGGAAAAAGGAAGGAACCAGGTATCTCCTTTCTCTTTTTACGTGTCTGTGTGTGATGCAATATACATTTAGTCATTAGGGCCTACATGAGTTTGATAAATGTCATGATAATGCAAATGTGAAATTGGATAATTTCTCTGTGTTTGTTGTTTTTGCAGGCGGATACAGATAAAGATGGGCGGTTATCATTGACAGAAATGATAGATAGTCCGTATGTATTTTATAGTGCCATCTTCAATGAGGATGAAGATGAAGATTATGAATACCACGATGAGTTTCGTTGAGATCACATCACACAACAGACTGCTTTATGTATCATTATTTATATTTATTTATGATGATTGCAGGATAGTTTAGACACCATGTTCCTTCCTCTTCTTGATATGTAATAGCTACTAGGTTCAAATTAAACCAATTTCTTTTCTTGTCATTCTTCCTAATTTTGATTCCAGTTTTTGGACCTCAGGGATACCAAACAATTCTTTCTATGGAATATCATATATTGTCTTTTAAGCTAATTTATATATACAGCATATGACAGTTATGGGTGACTTGTTGCAGTGTTTACAAACCCCGGACCTGTCAACACTGGTTGGTTTGGTCTGATTTTTTCTGCTTTTTATAACATAAACATTATTAATTAACTATAGTATAAATTTTAGAAAATTGATTTAAAAACAAACAAAATTAGATGAATTTAAGTATTACTAGAAATGCATTGTTTATATTAACTATTATAAATCTTCAAATATATATTCATTTGAGATTTGGCAATGTTAATTATTTTAGGTCTTTGCCTAGCAGTATCAATATGTGTTAGAAATATATTCCTTCCTTAAGTGGCTCAGTGTGAAACCAATGATGGATAAATGTGTAGATTTAGAAGTAGGATTAGGTGTGTTTGATATTCTAGAAAAAAAAATATATACTAACCATTTTTATTCTATTAAATGTTTTTTTTTTTTTTTTTTTTTACAATTAACTTTATTTAATCAATAATGTTCGGTAATTAGATGTATCATTTTTTTAACTAACTAATTTGAGTAATTTTTTTACTAAGGGGTTGTAGCCCCAACGGGATCATGTGTTGTGGAAATGCGTCATTCGGATCATGTGTTGTGGAAATGCGTTATTCTCCAAATGGTTGAGGGTTTAAGTCTCGTCTTAGAAGTAGGTTTAGTGAGTCTGTGGGTGGTATGTGTTAGCCGTTCCAATAAAAAAACTAATTTGAGTTTTACATACCCCTAATTATACTTAACCTTCAAAGATATATCATATTCTAACTAACTAATTTGTTTTGCTTTAGTCTCCAAAACTAAATATTAAATCTTAACATATCAAATGTTGTATACAAGATGAAACGAAATATAGACTCTAGATCTAATACTACCTATTTTAATTTTCGTGCATTATAATATATTGATTTTATTTAACATTATTGTTAAATATTTTTCCTTTTTATAAATATTATATATGTTTAAAAACAAGAAACTAGATAAATGTGTTTAATTAAATATTTTGGTGTAAATATAAGGCTAAATAGTCATTGATGGTTAGTATGGACCAAACATAAAAGACATCTAATATTACATTTAGACCATCTTATATACATGCAATGAACTTCATCGTTGTCTAGCTGGTCACGAGCCACATGAACACCACCTTGATCCTCTCATGATGCTAATTTGGAACAACGATTGTGGCCTCTCGTGTGCCCACCACAATCCACCACGAATTTTCTTCTTCTCTCATGCAAGTTAAACCCACCACGACCACAATCACAATCACTGTTGGGAGTATACCGGATTGTCTGTGGAAGGAGGGTGGAAGACGATGATGGTGAAGCGTATACACACCACAACATGGTGTGTAAACAAAAAGGTCTTGCATCATATGAAACTTAATTATATTGCACTGATGAAATGGTTTGACAAGTATGTGAGATAATAATTATAGATTTACATCACCTTCAACATTAATAATCGACCATTTGAGGTTTTGAAAGTATTTAAACCTACAATAACAGGTAAAAAGGAAAAAAAAAAATCACCAAAAAGTGAAATTAGGATAAAACCTTTTTTTTTTTTTGAAAAACTTAAGGTTTTTATATCAATATCCCTTATGAAAAGCCAAAGCAATCAACAAACAAAAGACAAACAAGAGAACCTGTAAATACGAATTCAAATTAAAACATCCAAATGTGCAAGTCACCAACATTACATAATTTAAATGTACGAATTGAAATGAAATAAAACCAGAGCGCACCAAAAAAACGTGCCTCCCTTTTCAACTCCCAGCAGTGTACCTCTCTATACACAGAAGTCATCATACTGGTCAGAGTTGCTTTTGCTTTACTTAGATTTTACCACTACACTACCCTTGCCTT